TACATTTCTATGATTAACTATTAACTGTAGAGATAGCAAAAAAGCTTGCAAAATGGCATTAAATAAGTGTCATGCCGATATCAATGTGTTATTTATCAAAATACTCATCCGTTGTATAGTGTCTATGACGTAGCACCTATATTTTGAGATATTCATAGCTCGATAATAATATCTTCAAAACTTCTGAAACTTTTCATACAAACTACTCTAATTGTGATCTTGACATGGGCAAAAGTTCAGGTTATAATTCAAAAAGATAATTTTATAGAAAAATCAGGATGCTACAAGGATATTTCCATAAAATCTCTATATCTCAGCTAAATCATAGCATGGGCCCATATCCTCTTTAGTATTCTCTAGTCTATAAGTCTCCTACTTATGGGCAAAATATGAAATCCTTCCAAAGGTTTTCTCATTAAAAAACAATTAAAAATATAAAACAATGTATACTGATTTTTATTAACATACATAGGTGTACAATAAAAAACTGTAGAATCACATCAATCGAATGAATATAAAGATCCATCAACATTTATCAAAATATTAAAAAAGTTTTTTTGTTTTTCCTAGATGTCTTCATATCTTTAGATTGATAGGAAAAATATTTAGATACAAAATTTGAATATGAGAATATATTTCATGAAAATCAATTTCATTTTCTTTTTGCCATTTACTCATAATGAACACGTCCACTTGATCATTTTATGTTTTGAATATTGCATCAAATATCGTTAAGAAATAATTAAATGTTTAGATGATTATCTGTTACTCAAACAATTGTATGTAAATGCAACTATTTTCATACGCCAACAATGAAAAAGATCAAATTGTTGTCTCTATTGTTCAACATGGTTTATCTGTTATGTAGAAGTATTTAGCCATATGTTAAACTTATTATCAAATCACAGTTCGTTTGATTCACTAGCGATTATCAATGTGAAACATATCAAATGATATGCTACATGTCCAGTAACATTCCAGTGCAAGCTTTTCTTGAAATTTTCTCTTCTAAAATTATCTTTTATCAAACATCATCATCTGTATTATGTTTACTTTTGTTCGTTTTTTTCTATAGATGATAATACAGGCTTTGGTTTTTGTCTGTTCTTTAGATCATTCCGACAGATAAACGTGTTATTAGGCAACGGTTCATTTGAGACTCTTAAGATCTCAGGATTAAATATGGAAAATAAATAATAATAACAACAATATGCAAAAAATAAAAGTATAATAACGATCGAGTGTTATGTCCTTGAACAAATATATGTTCTCTTCGATCGATGAAAAACTATGTCAATCCATCTTTCATTTATTTTTGAACATACAAAGAACGAATATTGGAAAAAGAATTAATTTTCAAAGTGTCAGTATGAGGTGTAGGAGAATATTGCTATCACATATTTATTTAACTTAATTGAATCAACAACTCTAGCCAATATCTATTTAGTTTTTTATTCAACGAAAACAAAAATTGATATGAAATCTAGAAATACAAAAATCTATATGTAAACGAATAATGATTAAGAAAATATCACTAAATGATATTTCTTTTAACTATTAGTCTATGTGAATGAAATAGAAAGATTCATTGTACGAATAAGCATTGATTAATCTTATAGAGATACTTAGCTACATAGAAATTTGAACGATAGCTGCGAACAAAAAAAAAACAATTTACGATTATAAATAAAGAGAATAATTTGCATAGAATCATGCTCAAATCAAAACAATTTCGAATGGTTTAAAACACATTTCTGAAAACCGAATATACTATGCGGTTGTGTTGCTTTCGTTGAAAAGATTCTATCATGATATTTTGGTTTATTTAAGAAATATATATAAAGAAGTGTTATAAATGAAATAAATACGCGTTTACACTTAGTACGTATACAAATCATTCTTTTTTTCTAAGTAAAAAACAAAAGGAAAAAGAAAAGAAAAATGAATTAGTCTTAATTGTTAAATATTTTCCTATAGGAAAACATTTGAGTCATTTTAACAATCAATAGTCGATTACCATTGATTAGGTAACATCATTCCTTCATGATATTCCATATAATTATAGTGAATTCCATGTTGCATTGGATATATATTTGATGCATTTTGTTCTATCATACTCATTGATTGTTGACTATTATGACGAGCATAATTATCTTGTAATTGATTATTACCCATTATGAATGGATGTTGTGGTGTTTGCATTTGAATCATTTGCATATAATTATTTC